AAAAAAAAGAGGCCAAACGCCAAGAGGATGGAAATAACGGGGCTGGGAGGGAGGGCCCCCCCGCTCCCGGCTCAGGCCGCCCGGCCCCGGCGCATGGCTCAGCAGCAATGCGGTTCCCCCACCGCCTCCCGGCCTCGCCCTACGCACGTCCTAAAAAGCCTCTCCCGCAGCCGCCGCTCCCCCGCAGCTCTGCCCGCCGCGGGAGCCGCTCGCTGGGGCCGCCCGTGCCCGCATGCTGCTCTCCGCCAGGCCCCGAGGAGGGGGGGAGCGCGGCCCGACCCTCGCTCCCCCTCCTTCCCACGGGGCTAAATCCTGCTTATCAACGAGCAAGGATCCTGGGCTGCTGCTCTGCCTCAGCTCCGGGTGGATTTAAAGAGACAGCGGCTGCGGCTGCCCCCTCCCTCCCTCCCTTCTTCCCTCCTTCCCTCCCTCTTTCCCTCCCTCCCTCCAGAAGGATGCTGCCGGGGTTGGATTTATCTCGCGTCGCTCTCCATCCCTCCCCGCTCCTTCCGTTTGGGATCCTGCACGCCGCAACCCCGCTTATTGATTCGCGTCGCTCCAGGCTGCGTCCCCTCCCTTCGGCATCCCGGGGTGCTCAGAATGGTGTGCGGGGCCTGGGCTGCCGGGCCCGGGGTGGGGGGGGGGGTTGCAGGATGGATGGTGGGAGATGTGGGATCATCCAGGAGCACGCAGTGTCCCCATCCTGCAATGCAAGTGCCAGGTGTTGGCAGCATCCGTGTGCCCGCTGTGTTTGCTTTCACAGGCAAGCGAATGAGGGTCGAAGGGGAGCTCTGCTGAGAAAAATAATGAGAAAGGTGCTCACAGAGTAAAATCTGGGAGCTGCGTGAAAACAGAATCACAGAATCCCTCAGGTTGGAAAAGATCCCCAAGATCCTCAGGTCCAAACCCAACCCATCCCACCGCGTCCCACAGTGCCACATCCCCACGGTTCTGGAGCACCCCCAGCAGGGATGGTGACTCCACCTCTCCCTGCGCAGCCCGTGCCAATGCATCACCACTCTTCAGGAGAAGAAATTGCTCCTGATATCCCACCTGGCCTTCCCCTGGCACAACGTGAGGCCGTTCCCTCATGCTACCAAACACAGCGTGGTGGTTGGATTAGATGATCGCAGAGCTCTTTTCCAACTCTGATCATTCAACTCTGCAATTCCACCCTTCTCCCAGTCCCTTCCAACCACAGGATTTCAGTCCCAGCATCCCAGCTGTGTCCCCCTGAGTCCCTCCTGCCTCCACCTCCACCCAATGGGAGCTTTGGGGCTGTGCTCCCCGCTCTCCTTCTCTCTCAGTGTATTTTCTGGTGTACAAAACCACCCTCATCTGGAGGAAGTCTTCTTCCTTGCAGGAGCTGGAGGGAAGAGAAGCAACCAGAGTGGGTGGGAACTCTCCCACTTAAGCTTTTTTTTTTTTTTTTTCAGTGGAAAATGTATTTTCAAGCCACACTGAGTCCTTAATGTGATAACTGCACTCTTTATGCTTTTTTCCCCCCAAAATCCCACACTACAGGTACTGCAGATTTCGGCAGCTGCCAACTCCCCTTTCTTTTTTTCATGAAAGAGAAAGCCTTTGAGTGGAAACCTCCAAACTTTCCAAGGAAAACACAACCAATAAAGTGTTTAAATACAAGATTGGCTTCTAGGGTACTGCAGGTCTACCAGAGTGGTTCCTGGTTTTTATTCTGGTTGGATATTAGGAATAATTTCTTCTCCCAAAGAGCAGTCAGGCACTCAAAGTGCTCAGGGAGGTGGTGAAGTCACCATCCCTGAAGGTGTTCCAGAACCATGAAGATGTGGCACTGAGGGACCTCATGGGCACATGGATGGGTTGGGGTTGGACTTGATGGTCTTCGAGGTCTTTTCCCACCTTAGTGATTCTGTGATTCTAAAAGAAGCCTTAATTTAGGAACAGCACATCTGTGTCTGAAGCGTGGGCAGTTTCTATGCTAAAAATACAACCATGTGTTGCATCTTTTTCTGTCCGTGAGTGGGTTCTGCTTTTGCAGTGTGCCTGTTGTGCGTCCCACTGCCCTGTGGCTGGAGGGAGAGTTGGCTGGGGAGGGATGTGGTTGTTATTAAAGAGTTTGTGATGAGCTTCAGGATGCTCAAGTAATGGCCAATGGCACGTTGGCAGTCAAGAGTGGGGATGTCTGGTTGGGTGATTGGGAATGCTGGGGCCATCAGGGTGGGGAGGCCAAGTGCAATACAGCCATGCTGCTGCCTCCAACCCTTCCTACACCCCAAATCAATCCGTTTTTCCCAGACTTTACCCAAAGGCCAGGATTTAGAATAGTAAAACTATAGCATCATAGGTTGGAAACGATCTCCATGATCACCAACCCCACCCCATCCCACCATGCCCACTGACCACGTCCTGCAGTACCATATCTCCATGGTTCTGGAACACCTCCAGGGACGGTGACTCCATCACTTCCATGGACATCCTGTGCCAATGCATCCCCGCTCCATTATCCACAGTTTTCCAGCCCTGGGAGCTCCTTTCCAGACCAGTTAGTATCTCCTGGTTGCTGCTGAGGTGAAATTCAAGAGGCCAGGCTGCAGAAGGAATTCTCCAGCACCTCTGCTGAACTTTGCAGACATTTCCCCGAAGGGCACAGACAGCATTAAGTAGAACTGCCAAGCTTTTTAAAATAATCGAGTGCATTTGCGCACGAGGAGAGTGATACGATGTTTGGAATAAAAGAATAAGGTTGGAAAAAAAACACAATAAAAAGCAAATCAGCTTATGGTAATAGTAAGAACCCATCAGATCAAGGAACGGAGCGTAGAGGAGGGAGAAGAGAAAACGGGCATTGGGAAGGATGAAAAATGCAGAGAATGAAATTAGCAGCTGCAGCTCCTGCAGACAAGGTGCTGGTGGGAAGGTGTAGCTCTGGGGGGAGCTCTCCTGTGAAGGAAAAGCATTTTGGATCATAAATCAAATATAGAACATCAGCGAGAGTCTGCCTTCTCAGGAATGCCATCTCAGCAGGTTTGTGCTTTTATGGAGTTGTAGAATCATTATGATTGGAAAAGAACACTAAGATCATTGAGTCCAACCCCAGCCCATCACTGCCATCCCCACTGAGCCTGGATGCGTCCAGCCATGGAGCTGAGCTGACCTCCTCAAAGGGAAAACTCATGGGGGCCTGACAACACATAGGGGAGGAACAAAGGGAATGGTTCACATTTGCTGGAAATCAATTAAATTTCAGAAATTTAATTGGAAGGATGTAAAGACCTCCGAGGATATCTCCATGCCTTGCCATCCTGTGAGCTGGGAGAGATGCTCCATGCCAGACCCAGATGCAGCACCCAAAGGTGGCTTCAACTCATTGGTAACACAGAAAAAAAAATGGTGCACAGTGTTTCTGGGTGAATATCCCAGCAAATAACGATGAGATCTCCAACAGACCACCGTGCTGCCACAGGGGCTCAGCATCATCTGCTTCTCTCAGCAGTCACATCCATGATATGTAATGAAGTCCCTGTGAGCACCATGGGCCGAGCGATGCACACTGGGGGTCTTAAGCTGCCAATATTAAAATGCCCTCAGAATTTCTGGAAGAAAAAAAAAAGAAAGAAAGAAAGAAAAGAATTTCCTAACGACAAAATATTGCCTCCAACCTGAGGGAATTCCCCTTTATACCTCGCCCCGACACGTGAAGATGGATTTCTCCCTGAATTAGGCTTGAGCAATCGCAGCTTGATTCCATTTGTTATGTGCAAATGAAGTAAAGCTTCAAAGCAGTTTTATATACATATATATATATTTATGTATAGTTGGCACTTTAAAAGGTCCCGTTTCACAAAGCAGAAAATAATTACAAGTCAAATCAATGTGGGGAAAGAATTTAGATGAAAAATGTGCTGGAAAGGGAGAAGCCTTTAAGAGTATTTAACCCCCAAAGCAGTAATGCAGACAGAAATCCTTGTTAGGAAACACAGCATGGCTTGGAAAGGAAGTGAAAGAGCCGCCAAGACCAACACATAAAATATAAACAGAGAAAAAGAAGGAAAGGGAAACTGTTAGTAATTAATAGACCTCAGATGCAGGAGGAAATTAAAGGCAGAAGGAAAATTTCCAAGATTTTCAAGAACCTCACATTAATGTTGGGCCAATACTACAGAAATGGGGGATTTATCAGTGATGTAGAAATGCTCAGTGCAAGTTTCTGGTTGAGAAAAGACAAGGTGCTGACAAACGGCTTCCCAAGGGCACAGAGGAGGCACGATGAGATCTGTGAACCTGTGGATCTGAATAACCCGCACGAGTTGTATGGATGGTGGTCAAGAAGAGCCGTCTAAAGAATGAATGGGGATTTCCAGCAGGTCTTGGAACAGTCACCAGGAGCAGCAGAGTGTTGGGAGAAGGTCAGCACTGCGCCCACCAAGGATGGGGTCAGAATGGGCACCAAAGGCTTTTATCCTGGGAGGGATCCCTGAGAAGTGATGTGACCCGACACCCAACCTGATGGGTCAAGAATGAATGGAGGGTAATGCAATGAATGGTGAACAGCAGCACAGGGAAAAACAATGGTGGTAAACTAACTGAGGAGTTACAGGTTTTTTCAGGGAGATACAGCTGTACTGGGGCAATGCTTTCAGCTTGCTGATGACTGGAATATTGGTGGTCACACGGATGGCTCCTTGCCGACACCGAGCAGTGCCTCCATTTCCATTGGGTTGGAACACACAGCCTTGGATATCTGCTTGATTTTCAGTTTTGCTTCCTGCTCATTTCCTCCTCCTGTTAATTGAACTCCAGGAGTAAACCACCACTTGATGTTGTCCCCAGGTTTTCTCCTATCTGTTTGGTCTCTAGCTAAATTACCCCCCGAACCAATTACAGACCAGAATGATGTTGCAGCAAGCAGGACTGCTGCTAATCTTCCGGTAGATTGCAGCTTATGA